AAAGCCTTTCCGACACCCAATTTGTTAGCTAGTTAATTCCCAAATGGGAAAAATATGCTGTTGGTGGGTAAAATAAAGAGATGGTTCTTATAATGCACAGCACACATGTTCAAAACTCCTTCTATTAAAGCATATTTTCCATGCCAGGATGACTTTTATTTTGAAATTTTAACAGTATCGCATCGCTGCAGTCAGTTTTTCACAAATGACACGTTATTTTTGACGTGAGGACTGAATCAGCTTTCATGCAGCTTTAATGACGCCGCTATTCATTTTCAAATTACAGAACACAATTGGATCGTTGTTATCTCCTGGCAGTGAAAAGCTGGAGCAGAAAAAAAGAAAAGACAAGCAGCACAAATCCTAACTTGCTTTCTGTGACATTTAATTCACGCATTGGTGCCTCTGCTGTCATACTCTCATCCAGCACCACAGCTGAAATGTTGGTGCAAGAATAAATGTCACAGGAAATGTGGAGCTCGATGGAGAGTTTATGTGACGTGTTTGTCAGGTGTGCATGTATGTCTACAAGTAAAATAAAAACACAAAACTGTTCATTATCATATTCTAATCAAACTGAAGCCTACTTGAGTGACAGCTCGGTGGTTCCAATTCTTCCCATCACGTCCCATGCATGAATACAGGCAGAAGAGGAAGGGGAGGGGGGGGAGGCCATGCAAACAGAACGGAGGGATGAAACAGAAGAAAAAACAAAAACGAAGCACAAGTAAGAGAGAAGACACTTGATCAGTAGTAAGCGATGAATAAACACATGAGAAAATCTATATTCAATCAAGATTTCAAATAAAAAGGAACATAAAAAACAACCATATCTGTGTTTGTAAAGCGTGTGCAGTATGACCAAAGCATGCTCTGGAAGCTCCGTTACTCTGTCAGCTCTTTGCTAAACACTTGGTACAGCAACATGAAGTGGTTTCCTTTGTTCCTGTTTTGGGTTATCAGTCATTAGAAACTCAAATGACACAATGACTATGAAGTTCAGTCAGTCTCGAGGTGATGTATGGCGCTTTAAGATTGCCAAGAATAACTTTGACAGCCGCTCCTCGTTAATGATCTTCCCTTCCCTATTTGGAAACCTGTTGGGGAAAACAGCCATCAAAGTTATTCATGTCAGTCGTTAAGGGTCTGTAGCAGCAGCAAGATGTTTCTGTGGCGGTTTAATAACTTGGGCAATTGTTTACTTGCTCTCATTTACCCTTGCCAAGGATTGCCTCAAAGCAATCTGGAGGAAATTGGAGTCACTGAGTTGTTGCTGAGACACACTGGAAGATGATTGTTGTTGTTGGTTTACAGAAACTGTGTCACAGGTAAAATGTACACTTGAATTTGATATAGAGCAAAAGTATTAAGCAGTAATGTAAAGTGTAGGGCTGCAACTTATATATATTATATACAATATATTATTGTAATTATAAAAAGAAAAGCACCAAATTTTCAAACCAAACATTGAATGTTTTAGAATTATGATAACTGACCAAGAAGATAAGATTATTTATTTATTTTATTTTATTTATTTATTTTTGGGGGGGGGGGGCTTTTATTGGTTCTATTAGATAGGCTAATGACAGTTGTAGATAGACAGGAAAGGGGGCAGAGAGAGAGAGAGGGCAAAACACGCAAAACACGTTTGATGACATTTATTCATCAACTAATCACCTAAATGACTGTTTCATATAGTATGACTGAGAGCAAAATCTTCACATATTCTCTTTTTATGGAATTGTTGAGTGTAAGAAAATAGTTGTTACAGGATAAATCTAAAGACTTTTATTGTCACCAACCCTTCTGAAAAGACCAAAAACAACAATCTATCCTGCTAACAACTGGTATTTGTGTAGCCAAAGCATGATATAGTTTAAAGGTCCAGTAGGTAACATTTAGGAGCCATTGGCAGAAATGGAATATAATATAATATAATATAAGTATGGAATGGATCAATATAAGTAACGTATGATGTACGTGTTTAAGTTAGGTGTATACTCACCGGAAAATTAACATGTTGTTGTGTTTTACCTTAGAATAAGCCATTTTTATCTACAAAGAAGGCAGGGTCTCTTTTGAGTCCGCCTGGTCAAACCACCATGTTTGTACAGTAGCCCAGAATGAACAAACCAAACACTTCTTTGCGGCCGCCATAGTGTTTCCTACACGCCTGGAAGGCAAGCGATATTTGATTGATTTCAATCTGAATGAAATTAAATGAAAATTTGCCACGTTTTATGCGGATGCCCAATCAGTGTCGATGGTAAATGTCGTCAGTTGAAGCAATAAAGTCCTCAGTGTGTACTATACTGATGCTGCCAGTGCCTACCAGTACCAGAATGAATTGCACACAAGCTTCTGAAGCCCACTGAGCAAACTATGTTAGTTAGGTGCTAATCACAATCACACAATGTTGCCAAGGAAATGGATTCCTGCAGTTTGACCATTTCTTTTTCACACGTAGCTACACTGTTACATTCAAGCTCCAAACTAAAATAGCCTGCAGCCTGTTTTACTGGCCTTTAATGGAGAGTGACAGCTTAAAATGGACAGGAAAAGGGGGAGAAACAACATGACGCAAAGGGCTGGAATTGAACCCAGGCTGCTGCAGTAAGGACTCAGCCTTAGTAAATGGGGTACCAGGTCACAAGCTGAATATCTTTATGTTTTGCAGAACACAAAGATATTCAACTTTTTATCAAACAAGCTGCAACCAGGAGATTTGTGACATTTTTGCTAATAAAATGACTTAATCTTTTATCCAAGTTGTTGTCAATTGACCAACTTATTCCAGATTTAGACACAGCCTGAGTTCATCATAATGAAATAATAATTAATAATAAAATAATAATTTGTATCCCAAAATTAACAGTGTGGCTATATCATGTGTTTTTAAATCAAACTATATAGCCAATACTTGTTATTAAAATATTAACTTGTTTTTTTTTTCCTTTCTTGGGAACACCAAAAAGATCAAACAACACCAGCATACTCCTTTAATTCAGAAAAGGTTGTTGTTTTTCTCTTTTGCTGACCCCTGACTGCTTCTGCTCCGGCCACTTGAACTTGTCAGCATTTAGGATGCTGAAGCGTTGAAAGACTAGAAAGGGGACAAAATGCTGGACCTGCATATACAACTGGTGCTCGTGGGCCACCAACAAAACCTCTCTTCTAAAGCATTACCACAGCATTTCATTTTACCTTGTACTGTATGTGCTGGCCGACAGCCCCTGAGAGCCAACATACACTGTGCTGCTTGCTGTGTGACATACCGCAGCCATAAATGCAATCACAGCATTTTACACATCCACGCTGATGCAACAACACACACTCATCATGAGATGTGACACATGTAAGCACACACAGGCACACAGGCACACACAATGATGCATTATTATAATGAAAACCAGCAACTGCAGGACCCTGAGGCTCCACTTTATCACTCTGTGTGTGCGTGTGTGTGTGTGTGTGTGTGTGTGTGTGTGTGTGTGTTGGAAGAAATAACTTAAAGGAACATTTGGTCCTGATTCAGAAGCTGTTGTTGCACCACAAAGATATATTTTAAGTTACATACAGCAAGAGATAAAATGTAAAACACATAATATTTTAACATGCAAGTATTCTGTAAAGTTATTTTTACCCTCAATTAAACGAATACAAGGATGCAATGTTATGTCATAACTGAACAACAAATAAACAAACAATCTTCCTTGGCCAAAGAGAGAGAGACTTACAGTAACCCTTCTAACACCACCGTACAGTCTAATTTATTCACATATATAAGTAGATAGTAAGAGTGTAATTCATCCAGTTTAAACTGACCAACTCCAAATGCTCCTTTGGCAACATGACATGCGCAATTCACAGCACATTTTCCCATGATTCAGTCCTTTTGTCAGCTGTCATAAGGTGTTAATGGTTTTAGGGCATCAGTGACACAGCAGAGGGCTGAACAGTGCCTCAGTTTAATAATGTAACACTCCTTCCCCAATTAAAATGTGCCAATTATCTCAAGATCCTGTGATAGCTCTCCAGCAAACACTCCTCATTATGGCCGAACATTTATGAATTCACAAACAAGCATATTATTATGCTGCTCGTTCCGCTCGTTTTTCCCCCCCATTATAAAAAAACAGCAGCCAGTAAGCAGGATTTGATATACAGTGGTTATTTAACCTGGAGGAGTGTCTGCAGACCTTATGGATGGGCATTTAGGGGCCAGGCTTGCCCCTTGATGACCCCTACAGGTGCTGACTGATAATTAGCAGTAGTAGTAATTAGCGGCATACTATTCCAATATTTTAAGCTTAGAACTTGGCATAATGTTATTGTCCAGAACCAATCTGGCTGGTCTGTGCAGATGCATAGCTCTGTTTATTAAAATCCTACTGAATGCATATACTGATTATAAACTTTCAGGATAAAAGAGTCAGTTCAAAGTAGCCCATACAATTTAATAACTGCAGAAATGTTACTATTGCTTTCTTTTTGTTGATATATCTGTAAGGCTGTAGGCTAGAAGCAACATATGTAGTATGCTTAGATTTGAGAGCGCCAGTAAGAGTACCCACAAAAAATTGAATGCCCCCGCCTTCCCAACAGTCATGCTGCCGGGTCTGAGTGCCTGCATGGGAACCTAATAACCTGTCAGTCACCTCTAGGATTTTACAACAATTTTGTGGCAACAGCCTGAGCAGACAGAGCACAAGTACAAATGTGTTCAGCATTAATGAAAGTAACAGTAACAAAACAAATTTCTCCCTGAGGATGATTGAGATAAATCAGTTTTTTGTTTACAATAATCTAAGACAAAGAAAATCAGCCAATCCTCATATCTGAGAAGCTGGAACTGACAGACGTTTGGAATAAAGACTTAAATTACTTGATTATCAAAACAGTTGCTGATTAATTTTCTTTCAATCGACTAATCTATTCATCAACTAATCGTTTTAGCTCCATATACAATGCCAGCACAAACACAGAACCACCGGGCTCACCTCATCGACATTCTCAAAGGCGTTGATGACGTCGTACGGCAGGCAGGACAGCAGGTCGATAACAAACCAAGTCTTCAGGTAGTTCATTCGAATCAGCTTGGGGTCGGAGATGACCTCGCCGGCGGGTCCAACGAACGTGGTGTGGAAGTTTAAGACTATGTCCACCAGGAAGATGACGTCCACGATGCTGTCCACCACCAGCCACGTTACGTTGTTCTGCTTCGTTTTGAAGGAGACGTTGTAGGGCACCATGATGGCTGTGTAGAAGGTGAGGATGAGGATGACCCAGTCCCACGTGGTCTTGAAGAGGCAGTAGTGCAGGATGATGTGAGGAGGGGTTTTGGGGGTCTCCTGTTTGTACTGAGGTAGGATGTCAGAGCCCAGCTGCAGTACCTGCCGGAAAGCAGTGAGTCAGGAAAACTCAGAAATAAACAGATAAATAAAAATACACAGCGGGAGGCCAAAAATACTGCAATTTGGAGCTTGAATCACATCTTCATGATGGTGACTATAGCTCACCTGCTCATGAGAAGTGCTGTGTAAGTCTTGTTTGTTCTCTAGTATACAGTACAGTACATACCTCAGCTAAGCGGGAGTGCTTGTGGACATTCTCTCCTTTGTGAACTGTAGGCTGCAGCTGCTGTAAGACTCCTCTGCTGCTTGTTAGAGCTCGAGTCAGTCGGGCAAACTTTCCCCAACCTGAGGATTTTAAACACATACAGTACGCACAAGTTTGACATGATGATTTTTTTCAAGTTTCATGGTGCTGGATATTTCTTGGGGCAACAGGATTTTTTGTGGGAGTTGTGAAGAGACTGACAGAATGAGGGTCTGAAAATACTTTTTTTCCAGTACTGAACAATTTTTTGATAACAGAGCTTATCAGACTTTATTATCGCCATCAGTGGCTTCAAAAGGCGTCAGGTGTGTGTTTGAATAAATTGACAATATCTGACTGGCTTTATCTCGAACATCTGAAAATCACCCCAATCGCAAAAATCACCGAACTGCTCCTTGACACTATTTTTGCCACAGTTTAACAACGACACATTACTTTTTCATTTGCTATTGAAGACTGTACAAATGTAATTTTAACTACTCCTGTTATGCATCTGGTAAGGGCAGTGAGGCCACAAACACCCATGCTTCCTATTGTCCCATGTGAGAGAGACGGCTACAGCTTCACTGGAAGTCTTTTTCCATACACATGTGCTGACTTGGCTTCATTCGTTTTGACTTGCTTTAAGGAGTGTCTTTAACTTATGACGTGTTTGTCTTGAGCTGACGTTTAAAAGCAGGGCCCTCTTTGGCACGGCTGTTGGTAGCCAGCTACTTATCATGAATTATCATGAATCGTCACTGAAGGATCAAAAAGCCCGTTTGGAGGCGGGTTGGGTGTGCTTTGACCTGACTCCAGAGATGGCCCATCTCGGGTGCAACTCGGCACAACTCGGTGCCTTTAAATTGGTAATGGAAACAAATCAATGCAGCTTTCAACAGCCTTTGGCAGAGTGCTACTTGTTTATGCTGAAGCCGGAGCTACAATCTCACTTGTTTGCATTGTGTGCTGATGACATCATGATGAGGTGCGTATTTGACTGAGTTGGTAGTTGCCAGAGCAGATGCACAATGCACAGGGCCGGATGGAGATCGTTGGCAGACTAATGTTACCTCTGCCTATCTCTTTTTATTATCTCTGTATGAAGTTTGATTTTAATCACTATGAAGCACAATTAACTGATTGGCAGCTTCAGGAAGGCATCCTTTTTGATAGACAGCATGAAGGTGAACAAATTAAACGTGTCGACTGACCTTTGGAAGAATCGTCTTCAATGGGCTGTTTAAAGGCCGTGATGTCACTGAACGTGCAAAGAAACAGGACCACTTTTTCTTGTTCATTTCGAATGGGAGCAATCTTCACAAAAAACCAAACAGGAGTCCCTGAAAAGTATAAAAAGCCAAATTTTCAGCTGCATCATCTGCTTATTTTTAGAGGAAATGACACCCAAGTACACAAGAAGCAGAAATCTTGATTGCAGTGTAAACTAAAATGTTCAAAACTTTCCACTTTCCACACCTGCAAGCAGAGGGAGGTTACACCTGCTAGTGGAAACAAACAGCACCACATTTTTCTGGGGAAGGTTTCTCTGGTCTGGCTCTCAACCAATTAGCACATTTCTACACAGGTATAAATGTTCTGGGCTGCCTTTGAACTCGGCTGTATGTAACAGAGGCTCTGAATACATTTGCATGACAAGAGAGTGGATCTTCACATTTTTTCTCTTTCCGCACACATGGCGTTGCTACTTACTGTTCTTTTTGTACATCAGTATTTCAAACGAGTTCATTTCATAATTCTCGAATGTTAGTCGCACTTTTTCTGTCGTGTCCTTGTCCGTGAGCTCCCCGTACATGAAGCTGGAAAACACAAAGGGAGATAACAATTTGAATATTTAATAGACAGTGGCACATTACAGAAGCCAGCTTGTTCTTGCACTAAAGAGTGCTGAGGAAGGCTCAAATGTGTGAATATCTTAATGTGTTAGTTGCCAAGTATTCTCTGGATACATTGTGGTATTTTGTTCTGATCTCAGTTGATTTTACCGCACCTTTTTATGTCTCTGTGTTGAACCTTTCCTCTTAAAATGAACTGTTTATATAGAGTTATACCTTCACTATGTAGACTAGTTACCGAGACCTCTAGAGAGGTGTGCTGCAGAATTAGGCTGTATTAAATGTAGAGCCGAAGTAGATTAAAACGCATTGAAATGTATCCTGAAAATATATATAAAAAAGAGAAATGCAGCCTGGTGTCTAATTGGCTAAATACAAAGTTCCTCTCAAAAACAAATTAAACCTGAAGATGGGTCAAGCAACCATGAGCACATTTAACTATGCTGCAGATACATTCATCTCACTTAGCTTGTTACTGCCACCCTCAGTGGCAGCCTGTTCCAGCATGGTCTAAATATAACTCAGAGTTTGTTATGAAATACAAAAGAAAGGCTAAATTTAATGAGACTCCATTCTGACGCTGCAGAGAGTTTTCAGACCAGTGCTTGATGTAATATCACTGATGACTGTCTTCTCTCTCTCTTCTTCTTCTTCTTCTTCTTCTCCCCCCTCTTAGCCGGGAGGAATGTGACTTCCTTCAAAGAAAATAATTTCTCAAATGATTTTGTCACGCGTGAAAAATTCCCACAGGTTTGTCACTGTATGTTTACAGAATCCAGTATAGAAAAAAAACATATACATAATTGAAGAGACAAAGAAAACAGTGAGAGCAGTAGAGACGGAAACAACATCTTTGATCCACACACACCTACAGCAAAAGAGGCTCAGATATTAGACTGTAACACTTTGTGTTTGAGTCCTCCTCAAAAACATCAAACATCCACACTGAATGTTTTATGTCCTCGTAATCAGGCTCCTAAAGATGTTCTTTGACAGAAAATAAAAAAAGCTGAAAGACCACATGATTAAAGCTATAGAGGAATATTTGAAGAATAATCAAAGAGGGCAGTGACACCTTCTAAAGCTGCTCACCAAGAACCGACTAACCCACTGTTTAGTGAATTATAGGTTCTAAAATCTAAACGCTTTTAAAATAGTTCAAATCATGTATAACGGAAAAAAATATTATCTGTTACCTGAAAGCAACCAAAGGTCAAAACAGAGGGAAACATGATGCGAGAGGAATCTGCATGAAAAAAAATTGTATTTAAAAGGGGTTAATACATGAAATAGGGAGAAAGTGACAGCGTAGCGCAATTTGTAAGTTTAAAGTTTTTAAGAGTCAGTGCTAGCAGCTCTGTGGGGTTGTACTTTGAGTTAAATGCTAACATCAGTATATACAGCTGAGGGTGATACCCTTTGTTTTATAGGTGGTCATAAACCAAAGTATTGAACAAATTAAACTAAACTTAATGTAGACCTTTCACTGGTGACTGTACTAATTATTTTTGCAATGCCTTTTATTTGTAGAATATTATCGCTTTCTGACTTATAATCACTGTCGTTGAGTTTGTTTATGATGCATAGCTAATTCTAATCACACTCTTCGTTTTGTGACATTTAGGTCAGTTTTATACATTTACACAGATCTCAAAAACAGAAGATTTAGCATAAGACTTCACTAAAACAACCTAAAAATAAATCTAAAACAAATCGTCACACACACTGTTCAATATTTGCATTGGCAAGTGTTCTGAAGCTTATGCTTAGGGACCCAAGGGCCTAAATCAGTAATAGCCGCAGTGCTGGCTGTGACAAACACCACCTCCCACAACAGAAGAAATCGCCCACGGTTTTCAAATCTGGCAGTACCAACTGTTTCCATGTGATCCTATTAATATAGTGGTTACCGACATGCTTATTACAGGCACAATTAACAAAAGTCCAGAAAATGTTCAGTCGAACAGGAATACTACTAATTTTAGGAGTTCTTTTTATTGCTTTATGTGAACAGGTTTGGAGAGAGCACCACAGACACAATCCACACTTTCACTCAGTAATGTGGAAGCAGTTTCAGTTGTTACAACCTGATTACATCACAGAGATTTTCAGTCTTAGTTATCTGGTTTCTATCTTTGCAAGAGAGAAAAAAAAAAGTATTTTATGTAAATAAAATACCACTCAAAATAAATTCGAATTTTGAGTGGTATTCTCATTCACTTCAATATAGCAGAATATGCTATGATTTTAACTTCCTCTGCTAAGATGCTTTGCTGAAGGAAATTGGGAGAATTGGTTTCCTCCCAATCAGGTCTACTATATCGACTATACTGTCCACACTTTCATCATTATAGTTCCCAGAGCTATAACTGTATTTGATTGGATGGACTACGATGAAATTTGGTACATTCATGATACCCAGAAAAAGAACCCTGAATATTTTAGAAATCCCCTGACTTTTCCTCTAATGTCACAATGACGTATATGTTTTGTGATTTTGAGTATACTACCAAATACCAATACTTTGATTTATGAGTAGATACCTGCAAAAATTCAGTTGTACTTTGTGTTTAGTNNCTAACACACTAAACTAAGATGATGAACATGGTTATCATACTTTTTAAACATCTGCATGTCAGTACGAACATTGTGAGCAGGCTGACGTTGTCATTTAGCTCAAAGCACCACTGTGCCTAAGTCAGTGGTTCTCAAACTGCGGGGCGGGTCCCACTGGTGGAGCACTGAGCCACTGCAGGGATGACCAGGGGAAAAATATGGAGTGAAACTAATTTGAATGAATATGATTTATGTAGGGAAGATAAACAAGAGTTTGCTGATGCTATTGTGCTGACCTTTATTTCACTGAAATTCAACTTGGATCCTTTTTTATTAGTTGCATTCCCTGTCATTATTGATTGATACAAATTGTGGGGAGTGAGGCGTGAACATTTCTCAGCTTCCGACGGGGGGCACGCTAGAAAAAGTTTGAGAATCGCTGACCTATACAGCCTCACAGAGCTGCTAGCCTGGCTGTAGACTCCTAGTCTTCACTGACTGATTGAATTACCACATTACTGCAGCCGTTGCCACTAACCAGAGTCAATTCTCACTATAATAAATAATTCATATGTTTGTTTATAGACTCCCCCTCTCATCCTTGTTAATTAATGAGGAACGATGCAAAAGAATAAAATCTGACAACACAGCACATGAGCAATGGTGGCATGCATAGTCCATTGTTTCCTTTTCACTCAAAATGAGCCAAAACGTTCCATAGAGTCCAAAGCCAGAAACACAGACACAGGCACTGACTCAGGTGCTGTATATATACAGTTTTTGACCGTGCTCCGACTACATTATCCTCTTCAAATAAGTCTCTCTATCAATTACCTCGAAATAAGGGTGCTCTGCCTCGGAGGTGAATACACAAATAGAATTGAAAACGGCTTCTACAGTGGCACGACTATAAAATAAACTCATTGTATTTTCAGATAAAACAATGACAAACCACTACAAAACTGCTATCATAGTACTTATAAGTGATAAATGCCACAGTCCCTGTTTATATGATGCAAGCATCTTAGTGAGAGCCCCACACAACGTTTTACTGCAGGCACTTATGACATTAAGGCAGCCTTGTAAAGGAAGTCGTCTTCTCTCTGACTGTAGTATAACAGCAGCAACAGCATGATTATTTTTCAGTTTTATCAGCCAAAATGAAGCTCGTCCAGAGTTTAGTTGTACCAAGATCTTAGTGTCAATGGCTAATCTTGTTCATCTAACACAGTAAAATATCTGTCAAAAGATTTCATGCCAGTGCCAAAATAATAACTAATTATATAGATTTGCCTCTTCAAAATTAGTTCATCATCTAAACTAACACACAGAGATCCTCTTGCCTACCTGCAGGTGCTGCTTTTCTGCATCACCTCAGCTCTGTGGTAGCCCGACAACTTGCAGAAACCATCATTGCTGTAGACGATGGGCCAGTCCACTATCTGAGCGTTTCCCAGGACAAAATTGGTATCTGTTTGAAAGTAAACGGGAAAGAAAGGGGCAAATAACTTGAGGGATTGCAGTACTTCCTAAAAACAACACAGAAATAGTTAAACTATCGTTTGGGTTGGGAAAAGGTTGAAGCGTATAACATTTGATCTAAATCAAAGTCAAGGATTTGGTGGAACTGCAACTGAAAACAGAAGTAAGTTATTCAGAGAATTACAGGACGCAACTATAAAGCAAATGTATAGGCAAAAGTATATTTTAGATTTAATTTCTATGTGTCAAACATTTTTATTGTAAAGCAAAGCAAATGTCTATAAGAAAAGCGCCACACATTAGGACTTCATTCTCAACACAGGTTTACAGGGAAGAGAGAATGGCCACGAAACCTGGAATATGATTTTACTTTGATGTTTACTTAAAATTGTTTTTTGAAACTGATTTCTTGTTTAAAAATGTGCGTGTGTCTTGTAATGTTTCCACTATCATTAAAAAGATTGAGTAACCCTGCCTTTAAGAGCTACTTTAAAGGCACTTAAATAATTTCATTAGTGTCCATGATGGTCTACGGCCCATTACACACTCCACAGGGCGGTATACACAAATGTAAGTCAAACACAAAATCTTTGCATAGTAAACATCTTGTGTTATCTCTTTGTGTCTCTTACTTTCAGAGGTGTTTGGGGGGTAAAACAGTGAATACTTATGTTTGTCATTAGTATTCCTTATTGTCAATTACAGTCTAATAATAATATCTGCTGTCATCGATTTTTAAATGTCATGAAGTAATGGCATATTTTGCATTTTCAAATAACAGCAAGGCCTCCGAGCAAGACTTATTCATGGTCAAAATGTTAATAAACCTAAATAATCATTGGGTTGCATGTATATTTTTAATGGCCTATTTTGCTTTGATCCTATTTTTAAACCTCAGTGATTTTTTAAATTAACATTCACATACTGTTACTCAGCGTCACTACTTAAACTCAGAATGGTCCCCATGTCATTATACATGAAATAAAGGAGAACGCTGGAGTTTTTAATTTAAAATAAAAATCTTTTTGAACTAAGAATGATTAATAAAACGTGTAAATGATTGTGCTGTGTAGTATTTGCCTGAGCGCAACAGAAATGGCTACATACAGAGTGTTGTGTTTTTAAAAAGGTGAGGACATAATGGGATATACATTACAATTACTGAGTCAAATATTAATATATGTTTTGAACACGAAAGCCATCAATGTTTTTCAATGTGTCCCATTTAAAAATACCATAATCGTACTTTAATAACGTGCTTGATGCGAGACTTCAAGACAAATTAGATGTGATAGCTCATTTACACTTTTGATTTGACAAAAATGATAATCAAGGCAATGTGCATAAAATGAGTCTGCCAAAGTACAAAGCAGCAAGCAAAAGCTTTGTTCTATAGCTGAGATCATAAAGATTTTTCAAAATATGGATTGTATTCCTTGATTGTTTTTGGCATAAATCATAATTTCGGCAATTTTGGCAAAAAAAGGAGCAGATGTAATGAGTTAAAATCGGACAGAAGAAGCGACAATTACAGGGGATAAAACCTCAAGAGAAAGAATTCAAAGCAAACCACCCTGCTATGCACACGGACTACAACAATGTGACGACACAGGGGTGAAAGAGCAGGAGAAGCAATTAAAAACACCTGGCACAAAACATATACGGAAAATGCTATTTTTATACAACATATGAACACACACAAGGGCAAAATGAATGATTATATCAAAATAAAACACACTGAAATGATAACCAAAGCATGAGAACACTAGCAGAATATGATATGAGACGTTCCATGCCAATGTGTTATTTTACAATGACCAGAGTGGCGTTAATCTTGTGAGTAAAGAAGCATAAAGTCCAAAGCTCAATGATTGTTATTAGCCCTGGATTTGTTCATTCACTGCTGTGTTGCAGCAATTTTTAAAATCTAAAAACATGTCTAATTAGTTAAGTGCTTTGTAAATTAACAGCATTTGGTATAGAACATTTAGTGGTACATTAATAGATACTGTAAGGAAAACATAAGCAGCACACCAAACTAAACTTTATAGTACCTGTCTGTCTATGTGACAGTGTCCAAACTGAAATTTTTGAAAAGAAAAGAAGGTTAACAGATCACAGAAAAACATCTGTTGAATGTCAGACAAAAAAAAAGATGGGACGTGTCAAGCAAAAGAGAGACACAGGTGGTAACAACTTGATCGCTGTGAATTCGTCAATCCTCTCCGTGTTGCTCTAAACCTGAACGGAAGCTATGGGCTAAAAACATGACAGTTTGTTCAGACTGAAGGTTAACAATGGCACAGTTGACAGACACAGCTAATTTGTACAGAATTGTATGCCATTAAAGTATTACAGTGTAGACTTTCTGCTAGTTAAAGCTGCATTCATCAATTTTTCACCACTAAGGGGCAGATAAACTCAGAAATAAGCTGACGGACACACAGCTAGACATTGCCTTATTTGTTGGAGTTGTGTTTCTCACCATCTGATGAATCACTCTACTTTTAGCTTTGTTTTAGTCTCTACCAACTTCTGAGAAAAAACATTTGTCTCTTTAGCTGCTGTTGTTTGCTGAAAACAGCTGTAATAGGAAATCTGGTTGATCAGAACAGGGAGATTAAACAAAACATTGAATGTTATGTAAAATCAAAATAACAAGTTAAACAAAGCTAAAAATCTCCAAGTAATCCCAAAGTACTCCCAACAAGCAAATGTAGTCATTCAATGTAAAAATAAAAACTACTGATCAATGCAGCTTTAAAAAGGACCACATATATTAGAAATAAATTTTTTTTAAAAACTACTGGCTATAAACCTTTTCGTCATAGCAAGAACAGTTAGTACAGGTGTAATTAAAATCAGTTGCTCTGACAATAAGGGGCTCCATGCCATGCACACATACTTCACCATTGCAGTGTATACTCTATATTTATCTACTTTCAAAATAGAGTAGGCCTCTGTCACCCACTCAATCTAAGCAGCTATGACAACACATAAACACCCTATATGACACACAAAATAAGAAATGGTGCTGAAAACATTTTAAAACGAGTTCAAAAATGAAATTATCGACCAATTAAAAGTGACTACAGATGTGCAGTCATTTTATTAATTACTTTTTTGATTG